TTCCAATCCAGTTCTCTGCTATGGCCTGGGAAAGCAGTACAAGATGGGCCAAGTCCTTGGGCCCCTCACCCACGTGGGAGACCAGGAAGAAGTTCCTGGCTCCTGGCTTTGGATCGGTGCAGCTCCAGCCATTGTGGTCAATTGGGAAGTGAACCAGCGGATTGAAGACCTCTTTCTCTTTCTCTCTGCCTCGCCTCTCTCCGTGTAGTTCTGACTTTCAAATAAATAAATATTTTTTAAAAAAAGGTCAATGAAAACAAGATGGTTTCTTTCTCTCTCTCTCTTTTGCCTAGAAATCACAAAGACTAAAAATCAGGATGTAAATTTGAGCAAGCTTTCTAGTGGGTAGCAAATGTATTTAAGAATGTCCATACCTACCAACCCAGTCATTCCACTTGTTTTAAATCTCTCTGGAGGGCCGGCGCCGCGGCTCAGTAGGCTAATCCTCCGCCTAGCGGCGCCGGCACACCGGGTTCTAGTCCCGGTCGGGGCGCCGGATTCTGTCCCGGTTGCCCCTCTTCCAGGCCAGCCCTCTGCTGTGGCCAGGGAGTGCAGTGGAGGATGGCCCAGGTGCTTGGGCCCTGCACCCCATGGGAGACCAGGAAAAGCACCTGGCTCCTGGCTCCTGCCATCGGATCAGCGCGGTGCGCTGGCCGCAGCGCGCCGGCCGCGGCGGCCATTGGAGGGTGAACCAACGGCAAAGGAAGACCTTTCTCTCTGTCTCTCTCTCTCACTGTCCACTCTGCCTGTCAAAAAAAAAAAAAAAAAAAAAAATCTCTCTGGAGGACATACTATAAGAGTTGTGCCCAAAGAAACACAGGGAAGTGCTTGGTGAGGTGAAATTGGGACTGACTTCAGGAATGGAATAGCAAGCAGCTACTGCAAGCTTCATGTTGACACAGGAGACGTTTACTATATATCACCATGTCAAAGTTTCAAAACTATAGCACTGTACCCCAACAAACCACACTTTGCTACAGAACACTCAAATCTATGCATAAAACACAAACCGAAAGACCTTACATCTAAAAGCCAATCTACATTCTTTCTTCTAAGGGGCAGGAACAAGCTGACCTTTTGCATGGTGATGGGGAGCCATGTAACCTTTTCCACAGTCTGCATTGAGCATGTGCTACTTTTATAGTGAGATGACACAGTCTTTTTTAAAAATGAACAGATTGATCATATCTAGGGCTTTCTTAAACAACCAGAAACTAGGGCCCTCCATCATCCAGATTCCAGAAGTAAAGTTCTAAATGAGTTTTTGTTTTTTTCCAGGAGTCTTTTCTCGCTCAGCAGACACAGGTACATGGCCTCAGGAGAGAGGTGAACAGCCTCTCTCTGTGCCCAGCAACTCAAAACACCCCTACATTCCTTGGTCCTTTTCCCCCATAATTTATCTGTGCAGACAATACATCTGGCCCATCTGAAATTTTGAAAACAAAACACTCCAGCGCCAGGCACCCCCTCCCAGTAACTGCTGAGCTGGGCGTCTGGCCCAAGTGAGGCTGGAGGAAGGGTGTCTCTGCTGGAACAGGCCCTGCTCACTTGCAGATGCCCATCCGCTGCAACGCTTCCCGAGTGCTCAACTGGACACTGAGCAGACCGAGCTGGGAAAGACCCCAGCGGTGGGTGAGGACGCCACCTTGCCAGCAGCGAGGGGAGCTGAGTTCTGAAACTGGTGGCAGGCCTCAGGTACCCGCCACCTGGAACCCTCCCGGTGAGCCTTTCCTTTCTCTCAGACACAGCCAGAGCCAGCCTAGGGGGTGAACGTGGAGCTGTCCCACACTGAGTCTTGTCGCGTATCTGCCCCAATCTTTAACCCTCAGAGCAGCTCAGCGCAAACTGTTATTCCAGCTGCCATTGGACAACGTAGACTCCAGCTGCTGCACCCAGGCTTGATGGTGGGTAGGAATAGCCTGACAAGAACAGTTAATCTCTATTTTATATTTGACCAGGCAGAGTGGACAGTGAGAGAGAGAGAGAGAGAGAGAGAGAGAAAGGTCTTCCTTTGCCGTTGGTTCACCCTCCAATGGCTGCCGTGGCCGGCGCGCAGCAGCCAGTGCACCACACCCATCCGAAGGCAGGAGCCAGGTGCTTCTCCTGGTCTCCCATGGGGTGCAGGGCCCAAGCACCTGGGCCATCCTCCACTGCACTCCCGGGCCACAGCAGAGAGCTGGCCTGGAAGAGGGGCAACCGGGACAGAATCCGGCGCCCCAACCGGGACTAGAACCCGGTGTGCCGGTGCCGCAGGTGGAGGATTAGCCTACTGAGCCGCGGCGCCAGCCAAGGACAGTTAATTCTAATTTTTCCACTGAGCTCCAACTCAAAGTAAGGCTGACTGCTACTCAGCAAGATGGGCTGCCTCAGCTGAGGCTTTAATGGAGCGTGGATCTGGGTCCCCAAAGCACAATGTTTGCTGTATACGTACTTCGGGACAAGAAGGAAAATGAAAAGTAGAGCTTCTTAAGGCAAAATTGAAAGTTGAATGTGCTCCATAGTCAGGCTGGTGGCCAGCGCCGCGGCTCAGTAGGCTAATCCTCTACCTTGCGGCGCCGGCACACCGGGTTCTAGTCCCGGTCGGGGCGCCGGATTCTGTCCCGGTTGCCCCTCTTCCAGGCCAGCTCTCTGCTGTGGCCCGGGAGTGCAGTGGAGGATGGCCCAAGTCCTTGGGCCCTGCACCCCATGGGAGACCAGGAGAAGCACCTGGCTCCTGCCTTCAGATAGGCGTGGTGCGCCAGCCGCAGCACGCCGGCCACAGCGGCCATTGGAGGGTGAACCAACGGCAAAGGAAGACCTTTCTCTCTCTCTCTCTCTCTCTCTCACTGTCCACTCTGCCTGTCAAAAAAAAAAAAAAGTTTTAATATATAACATAGGCTGACAGCACCAACAGCCAGCTGGGGAGCAGGGGCTTGGAGAGACCCCACAGCTCCCACAGCTCCAATGGGCTACAAGCAAATGTTTCTAAATGCACGGTACCTGCGTTCAGGCCTCTCTCTGCCCAAAATCAGACATCATTGTGGTTCCTCTAGTGGCAAACAAGGAGCTCCAGGAGCCCAGCAAGAGACAGGGCACCCCGGCCCAGGAGCTGTGGGGTGTATCTTTTTAAGAGCAGGGCTGCTCTTAGTCCAGGGGTCCCTGATGGCACCCCAGATGGTCATCTCTGTCCACATCTCTTTTCCAGCAGCCTTGTCCTTCCAGTCCTCAGCTGGAACACAAGGCCACTTTCGCCCTCTGTTAGAGTTCTAGCCCCTTACCACTTCTTCCCTGAGCTACAGAACTGGGACTTGTGCCATCAAGGGAGGTGACATCTTAACGCCCAGACTGGGTCAGCCCTCCTCAAACACTAACTATTGCTCTCCTTGACTCCCAGGTACAGATCTTGCCACCCAAGTGGGGTCCAAGGAGACACCCACAGCTGATCTCTCACATCCTCACCTCTGGCCAAACCAGCCCTTCCCAACTGTCCCCACAGGATTCAGCCCTTCCCAGTCATACTCACAGCAAGCCCAGCTGTGCCATCACTCTAGCCCAGGCCCACCCCTGCTCTTGGCAGTCCCACTGCATTCCCAGACACGTGCACTTACCCGCCACATTGATTTTTAAAAAAAGCAAACAATGCTCATTCCTTCCTTAAAACCCTCCAACAGTATTCTCTCACACGCACAACACAACCCAGATTCTTCCAGTGGTCTAAAGGGTCCCCGAGCAGCCAGCCCTTGCCCACCCTTCCAGCTTGCTCTTATGCTACTGTCCTCTCTGTTACTAAGCCACACGGTTTCCTGTTCTTAGTACATGCTGCTCCCTCTGCCTGGATGAAACACTGCTCCTCCAACTCCTCCCTGGCCTTGCCCCTTCTCATCCCCCAGTCTTAGCCTAAGGCCACTTACATCGCCTTACCTAAATACACCATGACCACAGTCACCCTGGATTGTATCACAGTTTTAATTCCTTCACAGCTCCCAGTGCTTCCCGCAGTTACCTTGTTTGTACGTTTGTTTGTTTCCCAGCCACACTGGGCGCCAAGTTTCTTCTGAGGGACCCTGAATCATCATCACCCAGGCTGGTGGCTGACACACAGAGGACCTTAGATCATTATGTGGTGACAAATGATTGGTTACAGGAAAAAAATAAATGCTTTCTCAAAGGCCATCACTGCCTGCAGACCTCCCACTGTGCTATTTCCTTGGCTCCGCCTCTCTCTTGCCTTCCATCACCAAGTGTTGACACCTGTCCTAAGGCTGACTCAAAGGCCCCTCTCCCGTAAAGTCCTCCACTCCCACCTCCAGACAGAAATAACTCCTCTGGCAGCCCAGCCCTGCCTGGGCTTACCAAGCTGCCTTTAGTGTCCTCAAGTCCCAAGGCCATCTACCTCAACAGGACTTCACTCTTCATTCCTGGAAACCCTTGCTTAGAAAAAATCATTAATGCCACTGGTGGCTCAGAGCTTCTCCAGTATCAATTCAGACAACAGGCTGCCCAAACAGCCCTTCTCAGAACAATGCTTTGCCCAACTGGGCGAGAGACTCACCAACCAGAGCGCCGGCTTCACACTGACACGTGTCCACCCATCCTTCAAACTCAACACAATCAAATCTGCACAGAAAGGCCTGCGTTACACCACATATTCCAGCCGAGACTCTGCTCCAGACCCTACCAGGTTCCAGAGGGCTCAAACGAGGCTCACCGAGAAGGGTCTCCTGGGACTCCATGGGGGCGGCCCTGATGGACAGGTTACTCTGGTGGCCTCTGGGGAATTATGAAAGAAGGAACGGGGCGAGTGAGTGGCTCACCTACCCTAACTTGCAGCCGGGCTAGCACAAAGACGAAATGGCGCTGCGGTCTATGGTTCGGGAAGGGCAGGGCTTTGCGACTTCCACCTGCAGGGGCGACTCCTTTGGGAACTTCCATCAAAGCAGTAACTGGCCCCCAAATTCGAGCCCGAATCCGGGTTCAGGCCAAGGCGCCACACAGCCAACTCACCTCTCTCCCTTTCCCAGGGCGACGGCGCTGGACCGCTATGGACTGCAGAAGGCGGGCTTCACGCACGTGCTGAACGCCGCCCACGGCCGCTGGAACGTAGACACCGGGCCCGACTACTACCGCGACATGCCCATCGAGTACCACGGCGTGGAGGCCGACGACCTGCCGACCTTCGACCTCAGTGTCTTCTTCTACTCGGCAGCCGCCTTCATCGACTCCGCGCTCCGCGACGACCACAGTAAGCGCGCCGCGGCCCGCACGGCCCCGCCCACCCCACAGTCCGGACCTGCCGCAAGGCCCCGCCCCTGCGCGACGTCCGGGCCGGAAGCCGAGCTGCGCACGGCACTCTGCACGCGGCGCGCTGGGGTGCGCGAGGCCCAGGAGGCCGTGCGCGAGGTGCGGGGGGTGGCTGGGGTTTGAGGACCTGCCCCGCCGCGTGGAGCGCGCTGCTAGTGGGGCGCTGGCCTTGATTGCCATGGCGGGGGGGACTCAGAATCTAGGGTTAACAGGAAAGGCCTTTCAGTCTGATTTTGTCTTCCCCAAGGAGCATCAGCCATCCTTCCAGCGCCCTCAACGCTGGTTCTGCGCCTGACGCGCTAATTGTGCTTGGGCCCGAATACCACTATAGCAAAGGCCTTAGATGCCGGAAAGCCCTCGGGGAGCTGACTTGAGTGGGAATCCTTTAAGTTTTGCGGGAGACTGTCCATGTCCTGCCAGCCGGGTCCCGGGCTGCCCTCCCTCCTTCCCAGCCTAGTGAGGATCTCCCTCAGAAAGCAGGCGACCTTGACTGGACTGTTGTGAGAATCCGGGTTCAGCACCCACAGTGGGCAACATGAGCATTAATGACCGTCTCTCGGCTCACACAGCTAGTCCTTGGACTTCACATGCAGTTTAAGCTGCCCGATCCGGGAAAGACGACAAGGCTACTTTGGAGAGAAGGGCACAGCTTAGGTGTGTGTCAGGGTGAGACAATGTGCTGTGACGGCTGCAGGCTGTACTTCGGGCCATTCCACAGAGGGCCCTCAGCTCCCCGATCCCTGCTGACTTCAGCCCCACGTGTCACACCCCTCTGCGGGGCCAAGGCACAATGCAGGGTACCCCACTGCTGACAGCCTTTCTCCCCACAAGAGTTTGGAATTGAAAGCCTTGCAGACTGACCGACTGACCTGCTTAGGAACCTGCAGCCTGAGTCTGGGCCTGGGCCAGGTTTGCCGGGTAGTCTCCGGCCTTGGTGGCCATCCCAAAGTGGCTCTGACTGCAGAGCCACCCATGGCCACCGCCAGTTTGTCAGGGTTTTGGTTCAGAAGGCAAGGTCATCATGGGGAAAGCCCACAGAGCCGGTGTTGTGCTGGAGGGCCTCCTGTGTAGGCCATCCTTTTAGGACCATATTTTATCTTTTGTGCTTTCTGGGTTCCAAGCAGGATCAAAAAAGCAACTGGACTGTGACTCATCCCCATGAAGTCAAATTTGCCCCAGAGTATTTGAAGTTAACTGAAAACATCCTGGACGTGAAACCTCCCTCCCCTTCCCCTTCCCCAGCAACACACACCCAAAACCCCTACAGCTGCCCAGTCCTTGAGTTTCTGCTTACTGTGCTCACTTGCCCGCATCAGCTCGCAGACCCTGCTCCCAGGGGAGGCGCTGGGCAGACTTGGCAGAGGACAGGGCTGGGTTCAAACTCCCATCACACAACTTCCGAAGCATGTGCATTCCCCCAGCCTTGGTTTCTCCATCTGGTGGCGCAAATATTTACCTCACAAGGCTGTAATGAGGATCAGCAGCGAAACACGCACAGCACTTAGCCGAGGACCTGGCGCACAGCAGGCTCTCGGATGTGTTTGATAAAGAGGCTTCGTGTGCTCTGGAGCATGCAGCCATGCAACCACACCAGCCCGTGCAGGCCGGCATCGTAAAGCTCCCAAGCCTAAAAGAAAGGGAAAAAGAAAAAAAAAAACAAAAAACACATTCCATTCCAGCTTTGAACTAGTGGGATGCACTCACATGAAAGCTTGGTTTAGGGCCCTGGCGCGCCACTTGGGAGTCTGAGCCCTCCTGCCAAATCAGAAGAGCATCAGGCTCTCAAGTCACATGTGCTGGCCTGGGCAGGCCACGGGCCTGGATGAGGAGGTGTCAGGTGGCCAAGAGCGCCTAGCAAAGAAAGCGAGGGTCAAGACGGGAAGTATAGGCACAGGTCAGGGACGTGCAGGGCGCAGACTGCACAGCTGGGCTGTGGGGGCCAGACCAGCTGAATGGGGTGGGGACAGGACTAGACTGCGCTGCTAGGTGGAGGCCGGCTCTGTTCTCAGGGCCCTGTGAATCCGCTTTAGCTAAAGACTTCCTCGAGGCAGGGGTTCGAAGACGGACCCTGGTTCTTCAGGCAGAGTGTAAACATGAGGCTGGCTGAATGGGAGGCCCCGGGCATGCAGGCATGCGCAGCGGCTGTTGTGGCGCCACAGAGCCCAGGACCCCCTTGAGAGAGCAGCTGTGACTCAGAGAATGAGCACAAACGGGGAAGATCTCCTCACTTGTCAAGAAAAGCCCCCGATCTTGAATCTTCTGGAAAGACACTTCATTTTTAAGCAATGGCGACAAACTGAAATTTCTTAAAACGCTACCAGGGGCAAACAGACGCAACCCAGGGGCCACGAGTTTGTCGCCTGTGCCCTGAGTGGTCTGAACAAAAGGCTCGTTAGCAGCAGCTTTGCCATGGGCTCCAGGCGAAGTGGATGGTGGGGTCTGGTCCTGCGCTAGAACACCAAGGACCCTGCTGGGGCATCTTAGAGCCAGACCTACAAGTCCATTTCCAAGAGAGGTGCTGATGGACAGTGTGGCCCAGAGACACGGCCTCATCTCTTTGCTCCCTCTTGTCTTTCCTGCCCTCCATTGGCTAGCTTCAGCTAAGTGTACACAGCTGCCCACGACTCTCACGGTCAGTCTCAGTCACTCTTTTTATTCCTTGTGGTGCTGAGGCGCTGAGTGCGGGGTCTGTAATAAGCTCCTGGGGCCCACTCTACCCCCACCTTTCAGCACTTTGACCCTTCCAGAACGGCTCCAGTTAGCTCAGCTGCTCCTGAAAAACCTAAACCACGATCCAGACCACTGGCCTAGTGTGACAGCTGGGGAAAGGGAGGCCCCAGAAGCCAGGGTCACCGAGCTGACTGGAGGCATAGTCAGGACACTGCCAGCGGGGACTCCTCCTGCCCGTCAGGCCTCACGGAAGAGTCTGGCGCACTTATCTTGAGCGTCTGGTGGCTCTGCTGTAGGCGAGGTCGCCAGGTATCGTGGAAGGAAAGGCTGCCAGCTGCTTACAGGCTAAGAAACAAGTGACCTGGTCACTCCTCATCAGGAGAAGCGGTGACAGCACACAGGGACTGCCCTGCCGGACACTGCGTCCCCGGGCATGCCCCACTGTGGCTTCAATTCAGTGAGATCTTCTAAGAAGCTGCATTTTGTCATCCTTTTCCTGAAACAGGAAGCCATCTGAAAATCTACTTTGCATGAAGTAGGTATAAAGAAATGGACGGGCCGGCGCCGCGGCTCACTAGGCTAATCCTCCGCCTAGCAGCGCCGGCACACCGGGTTCTAGTCCCGGTCGGGGTGCCGGATTCTGTCCCAGTTGCCCCTCTTCCAGGCCAGCTCTCTGCTGTGGCCAGGGAGTGCAGGGGAGGATGGCCCAAGTGCTTGGGCCCTGCACCCCATGGGAGACCAGGAGAAGCACCTGGCTCCTGCCTTCGGATCAGCGCGGTGCGCCGGCCGCGGCGGCCATTGGAGGGTGAACCAATGGCAAAGGAAGACCTTTCTCTCTCTCTCTCTCTCTCTCTCTCTCTCTCACTGTCCACTCTGCCTGTCAAAAATTTAAAAAAAAAAAAGGACAAAGTCTGCTTCCTAAGCTTCCTGAGCTTGCCCCAGACCGCATTGTCAGCGAGTGTTTTAGGGTCCCTGCCCTCCTGTGGCACACACACACATGCTGCCTCACCCCTGCCCTTTGTAACACACTTTGCACCATTTCTCTGGGGGTGCCCATACACTCAGAACTATTTTGAAAGAAGGAGGAACTCGGACTTTTTTTTTTTTTAACACATTGCTGAGAAAGCCGGGTTCTAACAGAGTGTGTGGGAGACTGGCCAAGGGCATCCCCTGCCCCAGGCAAGGCAGTTGCTCACCAGGGTGCCCCTAAGTGGGGGCATGCATGGGATGCCAGCTGGGCCTGGTTCTGATGATGTGAGTGACAGAAACCCACCTGCCCATCACCTCAGAAAACGGGCAGCTAAGGAGCAGCTGTGATTCAGGATTTGGGTTTCTTCGTGAGACTGGGGAATTCACCTTTCGGTAAAGGCCAAAGGGGAAATTTTTCACTGAAACCCGCATTCTTCAAAGACTGCAACCTAACAGTGGGTCATAAACCAATCTGGTGGTGCGGCCAGCATTTCCCTGAAAATAAGGTAAGAGAAGAAAATGTCAGCACGCACTGAGCTGCCAACTCCAAGTCCATATTTTCCTGTGAGTCTCCTCTGACTCACATACTCGCAATGCCGCAGAGCACGGAGGGCGGGGGAGCTCTGGCGGCTGATCAAGTGCCTGCCACTTCCTAGAGGGGCGACTGACAAGTCACCGCTCTGCCCTCCAGCTGCCTTATCTGCCAAATGGGGGTAACAGTTTCACAGACATCTCTGGGTTGCTGTGAGAACTGACAGCAGCCACATACAAAAAGCGCTCAGCAAACCATGCAGTCGGGGTGAGGCTTGGGAGCCCAGCCCTGCTGGGCTTTCCAAAAGCCACGGATCTAGAAAATGGCAGCTCCGACACAGCGCCTTCGCTCAGGCCTAGCCCAGCTGGCGCCGGCCCCAGGGAGCCTCCTGGCCACCCTGCTGCGGTCTGTGGAGGCACAAGGCCTTCCTGGCCCACGTCTTCTCAGCTTCCCCGAGCGCAGCGTCCCTTGGCCTGGGACTGGGCTGCAAAGGGCAGCCATTGGCAGAGCCACAGAGCTAAGAGGGAGCCAGGCCCTGAGTCTGCGGACAGGCGCCAGGAGGAGGGTGGCTGGGCCTGGTCAGCACCTGAGGCCTCCCGGGAGCAGCAGGCCCAACAGCCTTCCTGGCTGCCCGCACCCAGGGTGCAGTCCTGAAAGTCAGATCGAGCCGCAGGGGCTCTTGCTAGGGCCGAGCGCCCACGCCACTCTCCCCCTTCACCTCCAACCCCTCCATCTCCTGTCCCTTCCTCCTCCCCTCCCCCATCCCACTTAACAGACTTCAGGCTCCCCCCAAAAGGCTTAATGAACTACAGCTTTCGTCTGTTTCAAGTATTTAGCCCTGACAGAAAGAATTACCTTCCTTTTTTTTTTCTCTGCCGGGAGAGGAAGAAACGCTTTAGTTGTCAGCAGAGCTGGCCAGCAGCCAGGCAGCCTCTGGAACAGTCTGTGGGGATCAGAGGGCCAGAGCAGACACTCATCCGGCTGCATGTACCCACAGCCCCCAACCCGACACTGCACTCAACAAGGGGCCCCTGCTTCTAGCCCTCCTTTCGGGCCCAGGTGAACAGGGTACAATGGCTTGCTCGGGATACTCAGTGACCTGGACAGCTGGGGTTTGGGGGCCGCCTGGTTCGCTTATGATGACTTGAACTATGGTAGAACTGAGGGTTACCTTCCTCTGCCAGGCTCTGCGTGTGTGTGTGGGGGGGTCGTCACTGTCCAGCCTCAGGATGCACAGACCTCCCCAGCCTGGTGTCTGGGATCCCTTGTTTCTCAAGCTGCCCCAGCCTCTGACCACAGCCACTGTCCTGCACGGACGGCCCCACGAGGGAGGTCACGGCTCGGGTGGAGAGGCGATCAGGGAGTCATGTCCACACAGTAGGGCTCTTTGCCATGTTCTCCCATCAGAAACCCACCGGCATCCATAAGCACCTCCGTCATCTGCCAGGCCTCAGGCGCAGGAACACAGCCGTGGAGCAGCACAGCTCAGGCTGCCCCAGCCAGCTCAGGCCCAGTGGAGAGGCTGCACGACGACAGCAAGGCCTGGCAGGGTGCTGGTGGTGGCGGTGACCGGCTGGGAGAGCCACACAGCCTGACCTCATGGCTTCTGTCCCTAGAGCACAGGGGCCAATGCGTAGCACACAGTAGGACCTCTACAACATGTTGCACCAAACTGTTTCTCCTGCTGCCATCTGCTTTCTGGGTGATCTCCGGCAAGTCAGTTGACCTCACGAGGCCTGTTTCCCTGGCTGTAAAGTAGGGCTGATGGCAACGCAACCTTGAAGATCCTTTCAAGGAAGAAGGCCATGAAGTCAGGGGGACGGGGTGAGCCCCAGAGTGCCCCCAAATGGGACCCAGAAGCAGGGCAAAGCCTCTCACTCACGGAGCTTCTCAGCTCCGCCTACCAGTGGACACGGTAGTGGCCGAAGACAGCTTTATTCCTCTAGAGCTCTGGCTCTCAAGCCTCTTTTATATGCTTAAAAAATATTGAGGATCTCAAAGATCTTTAGTGTATTAGAAATAAAAACCTAAACATTTAGAAATACTCATCTAAAATAATAAACCATTGCATAGCCATGTAATAACATTTTAATGAAAAATTGTACTTTCAAAAATAAAATTAAGGAGAGTGGCTCCTAGATTTTTTTTTTTGCAGATCTTTTTAATGTTAAGCTTAATAGAATTGAGTTGGATTCTCTTATCTGCTTCTGTATTCAGTCTGTTGTGATAGGTTGTTTTCATTGAAGTGTATGAAGAAAATCCAGTGTCATTCAGATATGTATTGGAGAAGGGAGGAATGTTTTAATAGCATTTTCCAATAATTGTAGATATTCTTTACAAGTGATAACTTTTTAAAAAGGTTTTATTTATGTATTTGAGAGGCAGAGTTAGAGAGAGAGAGAGAGAGGGAGAGACAGAAAGAAAGGTCTTTCACCCACTGGTTCACTCCCCAAATGGCTGCAGTGGCTGGAGCTGAGCCGATCAAAAGCCAGGAGCCAGATGCTTCTTCTGGGTCTCCCACATGGGTGCAGGGGCCCAAGCACTTGGACCATCTTCTAGAAGCTAGATTGGAAGTGAAGCAGCCAGGATTTAAACTGGCACCATTATGGGATACTGGCACTGCAGGCAGTAGCTTTACTCACTATGCCACAGCACCTGCCCAAGTGATAGCTTTTTAAAGGGCATTTTTAAAGTGGGCGTTTGGCCTACTGGTTAAGCTGTTGGTTGGGATGTCTGCTTGGTTTCCAGCTTCAGCTTCGGACTCCAGCTTCCTGCCAGTGCAGACCCTGGGAGGCAGCTGGTGATGGCTCAATTGGTTAGGTTCCTGCTATACACGTGGAAGACCTGGATTCAGTTCCCAGCTCCCAGCTTCGGCCTGGCTTGTCCCAGCCATTGTGGACATTTGGGGAGTGAACCAGCAAATAGCTGCATTCTCTCCATCAATCTGTGTCATTCCCTCTGTTTCTCTCAAATAAATAAATATGTTTTAACTTAAAGCAATAAAGGTTGGTTGTGGAATGTGAAGCCATATCAGTGGCGTTCATTGTCGGTAACAGTAAAATCCATCGGTCTGTCTTGTATTTTGAATGTATCTCTTCCCCATACATAATTCTGTAGTAGCCTGCATTGGTCACTTGGAGAATATGTTTCACCAAGTTATGTACATCTTCCAAATGCTGAAACTTCATTAATATATTATCACAAAATCACAGTTGTTAATAACACCATTGATTTTTTTTTAAAGATTTTTAAAAATTTATTTGACAGGTAGAGTTACAGACAGTGAGAGAGTGAGAGAGAGAGAGAAAGGTCTTCCTTCCATTGGTTCACTCCCCAAATGGCTGCTACAGCCGGCACTGCACCGATCCGAAGCCAGGAGCTTCCTCCTAATCTCCCATGCAGGTGCAGGCGCCCAAGCACTTGGGCCATCCTCCACTGCTCTCCCCGGCCACAGCAGAGAGCTGGACTGGAAGAGGAGCAACCAGGACTAGAACCCGGCGCCCACATGGGATGATGGCACTGCAGGCAGAGTATTAACCAAGTGAGCCACGGCGCCAGGCCCCAGTAACACCATTGATCTTAACAGAAATCTTCAGGTGTTGGAAAACTGTCGGTCTCACAGTGATGGATACAAGTTTTCCGAAATTCTTTTTTTTTTTTTTTAAAGATTTATTTATTTATTTGAAAGTCAGAGCCACACAGAGAGAGGACAGGCAGAGAGAAAGAGAGGGAGAGAGAGGTCTTCCATCTGCTGGTTCATTCCCCCAATTGGCCGCAACAGCCAGAGCTGCACTGATCGGAAGTCAGGAGCCAGGAGTTTCTTCCGGGTCTCCCACGCGGGTGCAGGGGCCCAAGGACCTGGGCCGTCTTCTGCTGCTTTCCCAGGCCATAGTAGAGAGCTGGATTGGAAGTGGAGCAGCCGGGTCTCGAATCAGTGCCCACATAGGATGCCGGCACTTCAGGCCAGGGCGTTAACCCACTGAGCTACAGCATTGGCCCCTCAAAATTCTTAATTTTTGCTTGAAAGCTTGCATTTTAACAGTGGCCACAAATCTGTCAGTCATTTTCTTTCAAGTGACAGGCTTACCTTGTTCACTTTTGAGAAAAAGTCTGCCAAGTGCCCAAACAGGAATAACCTTCACTTTTCTGTCATTTGTTCATTCAGGTAAGAATAGTATTTCCTGGAAGCAGCTAGTTTAAGTTTGCATCTCAGACTCCCACGTGCTTTTGCTTGAGAAACCATTACATTTTGGTAGATAGCCAAAGTGTGGCGTGTATGTTGCCCATTGCAATCTATGGAACATTAAGAAGTGTACTGAAGGGTTGAAATTATTTTCATCGAGGATATTCTTAAGGGAAGTTGACACTGGCACCACCCCCTGGATGTGGGGTGGTAGACAACGTGGTGATCACTGTTACAGCCTGGTGTCTGTGCCGTGATTCATGCTGGGGCACCAGCGCTGCCCACTGCTGCCTCTGTGCCGTCAGCACCAAAGTCAGCACAGTCAGAGAGCCAAACGTCACCGGGCACTGCTATGGCAACAGGAGCCACCCTGGAGTCTCCCAAGGGAACTCCCAGGGGACCTGGATCACACTTGGAGAAGCACCAGTCTAGGTTATGATGTAGCTAACGCCAAGTGCAGGAACAGTCATGACACGGAGGACCTTGTCTTTAAAAACAACAACAAACTCCGGACCGTGGGATTTTTACTGACTCGTTTTCGCTCAGTGCCGATCAGCCTTCGCTCTGCTATTCGGCGGTGAGGCAAGTGAGGGTCCAGGGGCTGAGGGAGGACTCGCGCATCACCCGGCTGGTGCTGAGGAACAGGACCCAGCCTGGAACCCCAGTCTGCAGGAGGGTGGGCCCGGGTTCTGAAGGCTCCGAGGCCATGCGGATGCTGCTGGGCTGCATGGCGGGCACGAGACGCCCTCTGTCTGAGGGAGCACTCTCATCACGTGAGGTCAAATCCAGGAGCACTGCTATAGTGCAGAAACCATCCCTGCCTGGCTGTTCCACCCGGGGCGGGGGGGGGGGGGCATGGGTCACCCTGTGGTCTCCCAAGGGCTGGGTGGGTCCTCCCGGCACAGAATCTCTATGCAGCCCCAAGAAATAAAATAAAAACTAGAGAACTCTTTGTCCAGCAGTGAACAGAGTTCCAAGATGTATGGTTACGGGAAAAAATCCAGGTCTAGGAAACTAGGTAGAACTCACTACCATTGAGGCAAGGAAGGAGACAAGATGTTCCGGCTGCTGCACAGACAGGGGCTTCTTCCCGGAAGAGACTGGAACCGCTCCCCGCTTCTGGGAACTGCAGGGGCGGTGGGGGTCAGGGGCTCTTCATTGGGTACCTTTGGTACCTTCTGTGACTGGAGTCCCAGTGGCTGCCTCCTTGAACACACACAAGGAAGGCTCTAAGAAACAAAGCCGAGCCTAAACGCCCGTGTCCAGCATTTCCATCTGTAGGCACTGGGCAGGGAGGAGGGGCGGCCTTGCTAATGTCACCTGCCGCCCGCCCCCCTGCCCCCTCCCAGCCACCCAGGGCCGCCAATGCTGGCAGGCTCCCCACTTAAACCTGTGGGCTGTGGCGAGGGAAAGCGGGGCAAAGCCGAGGCCAGCAGCCCCGTTCCTGCTGCCACCCCCTCTTCAGCGCGGGTTTTCCCTCTCTTCATTCTGTCCGCAGATAAGATCCTGGTTCACTGCGCCATGGGCCGCAGCCGCTCGGCCACCCTGGTCCTGGCCTACCTGATGATCCACAGGAACATGACCCTGGTGGACGCCATCCAACAAGTGGCCAAGAACCGCTGTGTCCTCCCCAACCGGGGCTTCCTGAAGCAGCTGCGAGAACTGGACAGGCAGCTGGTGCAGCAGAGGCGACAGGCCCAGCGCGGCGAAGGCGACGGTGAGGAGGCCCAGGACGGCGCGCAGTAGGGCCCTCGACGCGGGCGCTGCGCCGGGACTCTGGGGACGGACGCGGGAGGCGAAGGCCGAGGAGGCCGAGGGCCTGGCTGGTCTCGGAGCAGAGACGCAAGGGCCTGGCCGGGCCTCTCCGCGCGTGCTCGGCTGCTTCCCGAGAGCGCAGGGAGCGGAGCGGGCTGGGCACCAGCAGCTGAGTCGGGGCCTGGCCGCCTGCGTGGTCTCCTGCCCGCGCGCGCTCACTCCCTCACCCGGCCTCCTGTGTGTTTATTTTTAGTAAGATGGAAACAGGCACGGATTATACAATGTGTGGGCATTGTGCTCTGATTAAACATCTGGCTTTGTTTTAAAGTCACGTTCATATAAAACTAATTGTGAAATAGGAGGTGGTTTCCTAACCCCCAGAAGAGTACCAAGGCGAGCATCCGGTCGGTCTGTACCCTGGGATCCCAGGCAGGGTCACCATCTAAAGACGTGGGATCTGGCCGGCGCCGGGCTCACTAGGCTAATCCTCCACCTGCGGCGCTGGTACTCCGGGTTCTAGTCCCAGTTGGGGTGCCGGTTCTGTCCTGGTTGCTCCTCTTCCAGTCCAGCTCTCTGCTGTGGCCCGGGAAGGCAGTGGAGGATGGCCAAGTGTTTGGGCCCTGCACCCGCATGGGAGACGAGGAGGAAGCACCTGGCTCCTGGCTTCGGATCGGTGCAGCGCGCCGGCCGTAGCAGCCATTTAGGGGGTGAACCAATGGAAGGAAGACCTTTCTCCCTGTCTCTCTCACTGTCCACTCTGCCTGTCAAAGAGAGAGAGAGAGAGAGAGAGAGAAGTGGGATCCTGGCTCTGCACAGAGACCCCTGCCCTCGCTTCCCCGCTTCCCGGAACAAGGCAAATGTGGCCAAGGAGGAGTTTGCCGTGGGAAGAGCCGCTGTTTCGGGGATCGCAGTCGGAGCCCCGGGCTGGATGTGCAGGTCACCGCAGGCAGTGTGTGCAGGGCTTGCTGTGGGATGGGAGCCTGGGGCGGAGGCGCCTGCTTGGGTGCTGAGCCTCTTGTCGTGTCAGGATTTTGGGTCTTGAGAAAACAGCAACAGGCACAGGCAGGCAGTGCAGCCAACACCGCAGAAGGCCAGGCCGCCTGGGGCTCACGGGCAGGGCCCAGGGAGTTCGGCTGTGGTGTTTCAGCCCACCAGAGGGGAAGTTCTTGAGGGAAGGAGGGAGAGGGGGCAGTGGAGAGCGCAGGGGCAGCGGTCACCCTGTGGCTTTCAGGCGCTTTTGTGCCAGAGCCTTGGAGCTGGGGCCTGCTGGACCACCTACGGGACGCGGACTGCGCCCAGTGGCCTCCCGGTGAGGCTGCCATCGCTGTTCTGATAAATGATGGCGCGGGAGCCATTGCACTAAGTGCTGCAAAGCAAAAAGGCAGAGATGAGATGGAAATTTCTTTCTTTCTTTCTTTCTTTCTTTCTTTCTTTCTTTCTTTCTTTCTTTCTTTCTTTCTTTCTCTTTCTTTCTCTTTCTTTCTTTCTTTCTTTCTCTTTCTTTCTTTCTTTCTCTTTCTTTCTTTCTTTCTTTCTCTTTCTTTCTTTCTTTCTTTCTCTTTCTTTCTTTCTTTCTTTCTCTTTCTTTCTTTCTTTCTTTCTCTTTCTTTCTTTCTTTCTCTTTCTTTCTTTCTCTTTCTTTCTTTCTTTCTTTCTTTCTTTCTTTCTTTCTTTCTTTCTTTCTTTCTTTCTTTCTTTTTTGACAGGCAGAGTGGACAGTGAGAGAGAGAGAGGCAGAGTGGACAGTGAGAGAGAGAGACAGAGAGAAAGGTCTTCCTTTGGTTCACCCTCCAATGGCCGCTGCGGCTGGCGCGCTGCGCTGATCCGATGGCAGGAGCCAGGTGCTTCTCCTGGTCTCCCATGGGGTGCAGGGCCCAAACACCTGGGCCATCCTCCACTGCACTCCCGGGCCACAGCAGAGGGCTGGCCTGGAAGAGGGGCAACCGGGACAGAATCCGGCGCCCCGACCGGGACTAGAACCCGGTGTGCCGGCGCCCCAAGGCGGAGGATTAGCCTAGTGAGCCGTGGCGCCGGCCCCGAGGTTTCTGTTTTGACGAGGTACTTACATTTACTAAGGCTTCACAAGCAGGAAGGACAATGGCCATGGGTCACTGCTGGTGTTATCTTGAGCTTGCCCACACTCCCACTCCCCCTTGTGCCCATCTCTTGGTGGGCTGAGTTGAGTCCTGCTGGGGACAGCGGAAGCAAAGAATGTCGGTCAGGGGCCTACTGTCTCCAACATGATTCCTGAGGTCCAAGGATAGGAGAAAGAAGGAATACAAGTGTTTGCAAAAGCTTCTTCAGAAGTCAAAGGTTCATCTGGCCAATGGGTAGCTACTGATACCCTGCCATGTGGCAACAGCTGAGTGGGGCGACTGGAAACCAAGAGAAGAATGTGATGCGGGAAACAGGTACTGAGCAGAACAATGGAGGAGCCCACTGTGGATGGAGTGGTTGAGGAAGACCGCCCAGAGGAGACAGGGTAAGCTTGGACCTGAAGCAGCCCACCTGTGAGAAGCTGCCCATCAGTGAGGCTGGACCTTATGTGTGTACGGACGGGTGGAGAGTGAGGAAAGCAGTGGAGAGACTCAACTGTATTCCAAGCGCACAGAAAAACCACCCAAGGATTCTAAGCAGGGGAGTGGGATGAACTGTTTCAAGATCACACTGCAAAGAACTCACTTTGGCCAAAGCATGGGGAATGGATGGGTGGTAGGGAATGAAGAAGGGAGGAGAGACCAGGTGGGAGGCAGTTAGGATGGTTGAGAGGAAAGGGGAACACGGCCTTGACTGCCAGCGTTAGTATTCAAGAGGAGTGTGCAGTTTCTCTGGAAAATGGACAGGCCTGCTGAGAGGGAGGGACAACTGAAAGATAAACTGATGGGATTCTTGGTGGTGCCTTAAACCTGAGATAGGATTTACCTGAGTGGGAATGGGAAGAACAAGACATCAACGGTGTGGTCCCGTCAGATGCCTAAGGCACACAAAAAGCTGATCGGGAACCTCGAGCTGGGGAATGTGCAGGGAATGTGGGGAACCTGCAGATGTGAGTCTGGTGAGACCCTAGAGAGGATGGGGTTTGAAGCCATCATACCAGGTGCGACAGGAGGAGGGAGAAGCCGCTGCAGGCCTGACCCCTGCAGAGCTGGGCCTGGGTGGAGGAAGGCCCAGGAAAGGGAACAGGTATGTAGAAGGAATTATAGAAACCGAATACAAAGAAATGGAAGATACTGCTTCCTAATATAACAGCACTTGTGCTTTGGGTATTTGCCAAAGCTTGGTGCAACAACAAAGGAGCTTACATTCACAAAGCACTTAACAGTCTACAGCATCCTGTATTTACTAGCTAAGCCTTTGAATCAGGGAGGTGACAAGATCAGGCCTCGTCCCAGAGAGCAGTGTTTTAGGAAAACGAGCTGTGATTTGGAAAGACCTGGCTTTGCTTTCTCTTAGATTTTTAGCTGGGTGTTTTGACCATTAAGTTAGCTTCCTTGAAGGCTCAGTCTCCTGATCTGTAACTTGGAATCAATGTCCCACTTGCTGCACAGGGTGAGTGTGTGGAAGGACTGCTTTTGAAAACAACATTGTGAGTCATTATTTCTAAAGCAGAAGGTCGGCCAGAGAGGCCAGTTCCTTCACAGCTGGGAAGGCACCACCTGAGCTATGAAAACACGAGGCTTGACGACAACTCTGAAAGCTAGTAAAAGAATACATTACTGGTTTTAGAAGACGTGCCTGTTAACGAACCCAACCCAACAGTGACTCTACTGCAGTTCTGACGAGCCTGTTTGTTTCCCAGGACACTAGAGGTCACGTGCAGGTCTGACTTCTCTAGTGAGAGCCTAAGTGAGGGGTGTGCAGCTGCTGAAGCTCTTAGATCTGCAGTTTCTCCGCTCTGCTAAGTCCTCCTGTCCCATCAAGCAATATTAGCACGTGGGGCCTACAGAGGAGCACCCAACCTGGCCACACTGCGGCCCCTTTGGAACCCGAGACACGAGGTATCCCCAGTGCTGTTCTTAAGATTCTGGTTTGGTGGGTCTAAGGCAGTGTGACCGTGAGGCAGGCAGCAGCAGGTGCCATCAGACACCCCACAAACCCCAGGCCACTGTTAAAAGAGAACAGGGAGGAGAATCTTGACCCCCCAAAGACAAAAGCAACTGAATACCTGCATCTCAAGGCTCCTGTAGTCTCTCCAGCGCAGACTGCCAGACTCCACCCCGCCACCAGGGCTGTACAGCCTCTTGCCTGTGCAGCCTGCTGGGGCGCCCAGGTCCCGAGCCACTCCTGACCTGAAGCAGTACACCATCACTGAGGACGGACTGTGGTCTCCTTTCCTACGGACACAGGGCCTTAAAGGTTCTTTGCAGGACAGGCCCTTGTAGAAGTGTCTTCTTGGAAGCCCACCCTCAGCCACTACAGGGACTAAAAGGCAAAACAAAACAACTCAAAACAACTCAATGCACTTCATTCTCAACCCAAACAGTGAGAGAAAGTGATGGTAGGGATGAGACCAAACTCCACTGCGCATTTGCCCTCTCTCTGCATGGGGTCTCTGACTCTCATGGGTGTGCAAGCACCAACTATCTGTCATTTCAGAATTCGGAGTCCACTTTGAAGTCTATGGTGTGTGTTAAACCAAGAACGGAAAAGCCATCTTGTCTTCCTCCAAGAGGTATAAAAGTGGTGACCTGCTTAACAAGAGAGGTGGAGCACCCACGTGGAGACATGGAGAGCTCAGCAGGCCGATTTCACGTGGGTGCCACGTTAGGCATTTGCTCCTAGGCTTGTTGCTTGAGTAATCAAATGCCTTCACACTCAGACAGAACTCTCTGGAGGCCAGAGTATTTGTGAACACTCATTTTTTTCCTTGTCTAAACTTTAGATGCTAAAGAAAACCTACAATCAATCATTCACAACAAAGCAAAACTTTCATACCTTTTAAGAAAGTGATTTTTCAAATGTATCATCCCAAATTGGGTGCTTTATTTTTTGGTATTCATTTTTATAAAAATGAAGTTTGCTACCACGGTACTAGGGTGTTTATACGAACTATGCAAATGAGGGAAATGGGTATTTGTGCGGGATCTCTTTGGAAATGAAGATCAAAGTCAAAAAGAAAAAAAACAAATTCACTTTATTTTAAAGACAATGATTGGCATACAGAAGGTATGCACTAGCATAAAATAAACTTTCATGAAAAGCATTAAAATCCATTATAAATTAATTTATTAAATAGGTATTTGGTATATGTGATGGTTTTATTAGATATTACTCTTATTTATTGCCAACCCCTCCCCCAAAGTCAAAACAAATCAGAAAAATCTCATAACTCCAATTTACACTAAATAATTTATTTTCCCAAAATGTGTATGTGTTTTGAGATGTGACACATGATACAGTTCAACTGGTCATTCTCTATCAATCATAATATGACAGGACACAAGAGGCTAAAAATGGCTCATCATAATTTATTTTATGTTAAAATGTACAGCTTTTTTTTGTTTTTGTTTTTGTTTTTTTGAAGTAACTGACTAAAAAGAGAACAGATAAATACAAGAGTGTCGCTGGCTCCTATTTTATACAAGGATTACGCCTCTCCTGCTTGGCCCTTACTGTCACCCTGTACAGGTACAAAGGCTACAAAAAAGGAAGCAATATAAACAGACACAAATAACTTTTTTGCTTTTTTACATGCGATTTGTAAGCTTAGTTTGAGCTATTCACAAGCTACTTCTCTATTTTTCCTTAAAAAATAACTCCAATATTTTATAAAGATAGAAAAATCTACAGATGGAATGAAAATGTAAAGTTAGAGGCATTTCCATAAAATAGCAACTTTACACCAAATTCACTATTTTTTTTAAATCCTGCCAAGTATTTGGACATATATGAAATGTTTCAAAACCTGACAGATAAACACTGAGATATGCTTCATTCAATAAACAGAAGTCTGCATTTATAAAACAGAAAGCTGCCTTTTTTCCCCAAAGAAATCTGTCACCAAAATGGAAAAGGGTCTCAACTTTACACCAAACATTTAGCAATAAAACCCTTTTAACTAACCAAATGGGAATAGCTTTTATAGCTCTTTACAGTTTTATAATTAACAAAAATATAGTTTTTTTTAAACCCTCAAATTAGGGCACCCTAATCAAGGCAAAAAACTTAAGAAATGGCTTACTGTTAGCACAACACTTGTACAGTACTACAAAATGCACTGTCACTAACAAAGACATTAGCGGCATGCTGAAGTGTCACCTTAAACAAAATATACAATAACTGAAAGGCTAAAGGCATTTACATGGAGTGGACGGGGAAGGAAAAAAAAGCTCTAGGTTCCATATTAAAACAGAGAATGGGGGGGGGGGGGGCTGGATATCCACATTTTTAATGGAAGCAGGCACAACAAGTGGCTGCCTCCAAACTGTAGTCCAAAGAGAGGCCTTTCTTTGCAGAGAATTTCATATAAAAGTTAGTAACAGAAACAAAAGTACCAAAAAAAAAAAAAAAGAAGAAGAAAAAAAGAAAGAAAGAAAAACAACTTGTATAAGGCTTTCTGCTGCATACAGCTTTTTTTTTTTTTTTAAATAAATGGTGCCAACAAATGTTTTTGCATTCACACCAATTGCTGGTTTTGAAATCGTACTCTTCAAAGGTATTTGTGCAGATCAATCCAATAGTGATGCCCAGTGGGCTCTGTGGACCGCCCACATTGTCTACCTTCTCATGTAGGACCCATTGAGAGATTGCTTGGACATGCCTGTGTTCATGTAGCCGTGATGTCCGGGGGCTGTGTACATCATGTTCCCGTGGGGCGGGGTCTGCATTGGCTGCTGGGCATATGGCTGGGTTCCCATCATGCCCATCTGCATCTGCATAGGGTATTGGGGTGTTTGATTCATGTAGCCATGATTGCTGTGGTAGCCACTGTTCATCATTGGCTGGGACATGCTGTACCCATTCATGGCATTGAGAGTGTTCATGTTCATGTTCACAGAGTTGACATTGTAGGCTGGGGCTGGCATCAGGTTCACACTCATGTTCATGCCTCTTTGCATTGTTAAAGTCCGTGCAGGACCCTGCATGGCTACAGTCTGGGAGCGCCCGTAGATCTGTGACTGATGGGGGGCAGTGCCTGGTGACAGAGAGGCCGACTTGGTTCTCATGGACACGTGGCTCTTGCTGGCAATCTGGGTTTGCAGTCTTTGGCTGTGGGAGATGCCAATATTTGATGCAGCCATGTTTCGTTGCAAAAGAGGTGGCGGCAGATTCATTGGAGGAGGAGTCAGGTTGGGGGGTGGGGTCATGGTAGCTTGTGCTTGGGGTCCCCCAGGGACGGAGTGTGGAGACTGAGAAAGCTGAACAAGCCCTGTGTTACTTAATGGTGCAGACAAAGAGGCACTGTTTGCATAGGAAGTCACAGCAGCGGAATGGCTGTAAGGCAATGAATGATCAATAAGTGTGTTAGTTAACTGCTGTAGTTTGGCAAGGCTGAAGGTGGCAGACGGCTGTGGGTAATGCCCAGCCCCAAAATCACTTTGACCCATGCGCTCATATAAGCCAATGTTGGCGTTGCCTGTCTCAGGGATTTCAGCCAGCTGCATTGGGGGGGTGAAGTTAGCAGCCATGCTACACTGAGCCAGTTGCTGACTGCTACTGGGAGGCCTCTCCACCACACAGCCTTGAGGAGACTTGACGCTGCAGGTCGGGGGGGAGCTGATGCTGGTTTGCTGCAGCATGCTGCAGCTCCCGCTGATGTTGGACATCTGCTGGGTGACAGCACAGCTGCTCTGCGTCAGATTGCTGGAGGTGAGGTTGCTATAGGAGCAGCTGTTCTGTGAAGAACTGTTTCCACAAATGCTGCCACCCATAGTAGAATCATAGCTGCTCGGATTTTCATAGTTCTCCGTTGTGCTCTCGATGCTACCCAGATCACTAAATCCGCTGTCCACGACTTGCTGCGAATGATCTGAAACTGAGGGAACATCCATCATTGGACTGGTTTCCATGTTCTGCAAAGACGGCACGGAGATGGCACTTTGATCTGGGCTGATTTGGGCATAGCTGTTTTCCAGGGCAGGGACACTTGGGCTATTGACAGAGCGTACTGACTGGCCAGGATGGGAATGGACAGAGGAAACTGGGCTACTGTGGTCTGATTGTTGGCAGTCATCCAGAGTGGTGGCAATTTGTGGACTTTGGTCTGCGTGGGTGTAGTTCTGTAGGCTTCTACAGGCTTCTTGAGTCTCGGCACAATCCTGAAAGGTGTCGTCCTGTTCCCTGTTCTGCTGCGTCAAAGACTGAACTGCCTGGACCGTCTCAGAGTCGATTTCCACCGGGGCTGTGTTTCCCTCTTTGAACTCAGGATCTACTTCTTCGCTGCTCTTTGGGTCCTGCTTCTGTACCTGTTCTTCTGAGGGCTCCTCATCAGATTCAGGTGCAGTTTCAGTGTCCCCAGCAAGCTCCTTAGGCTCACTGTTACATGGAGCAAGGTCAACGCCACAGTCCATCAAAACCTCTGGGTTTGAATGGCCAGGCTGAACACTAAGGTCTAAAAAAGCCTCCTGGTTTTCCAGTTCTTCTTTGAAAGGTTCTCTTGGGAGTTCTTCCTTCTCCACGTCAGCAGACTCCATGTGACTGTCATCCTCGTCGTCCGCATCATGATCCTCATTGTGAGACGGCTCTTCCTCCTCTTCCTCCTCCTCTTCCTGATCGTCCAAGTGCACAGGGCCGTCCTTCTCCATGGAGACTTCTGGGTCCTCCTTTGCCTGACTCTTAGCACCACCTGGGTCTTTTTCTATATTTACTTCTTCATCTTCCTCCTCCTCCTCCTCCTCTTCTTCCTCTTCCTCTTCTTCCTCCTCTTCCTCCTCCTCCTCCTCCTCCTCGGGTTTGATCAGCTCACTGTCCGGTTTTTCTCCTGGTGACTTAGTTGGACTCGCAGGTGCACAAGTTTCTTCTCTCCTGCCTTCATCCCGAGGCAGCAGAGCTTCCGGAGTCTCCTTGACCTCCTGCTCCGTCCCGCCGGGAGCGGGGCTGCCTCCGTCTCCTGACGTCTCCTTCAGTTCTTCGCTCGTCACCTGGTCATCAGGTTCCATGGGCGTTTCTGGTGGCGTGTACAAATTCAGTTTAAATCCAGTCTTCCTCTCTTTGTTTTGTCTCCACTTAGAAAGCCCATGCTTCGTTCCTTTTGGCCATACTTGCTTGCACTTTAGAGGTTCAGGATTGTCTTTGCTGCCTTCTTTCAAGTTACTTGCTTCATCGTCCGTATTATCTTAATGAAAAGACAGAAGGGGGGAGGAAGAAAGAGTCTTAGACAACTTGAATTCATTACTCTATAACAATTACCAAACATTGCTTTTGTTTACATTTTAAGAGTTGGTGATCAAGATAAAACCAAGAGTAAAGTAACATAATATTGTGGCATAACCCAAGTGAATAACCTAGGCCTTTTGGAAAATATTTGAATTTATCAAAGATTATATTCTCAGGTGCAAAAGCCCAGAGTTCCAAAATGTATTAAAAAATTGAATTTGAGCATTTAGAAATCAGGCAATATGGAGAAACGGCTTAATGCTAACTTCTGTCCAAGGTACCGCTGTACTAGCCAAATGTGAACTGTTGGGTTGCAGACATTTACTGGATTTAAATGATCTCAAATGACATTCACTTCAATCTGAATGTGCTGTTTGGCATAAAAATAAATCCTATACCTCTAAAAATAAATGAACAAATAATTAAATGCCCAGAACATAAATTTCTTGGATCACCATTTCTACATGAAACAAACAACAATGAAATGACTTTTTAAAACATAAGTATTCTTTAATTCTGTCTACACTGTGTTTTAAATCAGTTTGCTGCTGATATGCAAGATTTGAATATTAAAGACAGTTAAAAATAAATAATAATTATAAAGTCCACTTCAGTTCAGCCAACCTTGTTTTTAAGATTTATTTTATGTATTTGAAAGGCAGAGTGCAGGGAGAGAGAGGGAAAAACAGAGATCTTCCATGTGCTGACTCACTCCCAAATGGCTGGGGTTGGGCAAGGCTGAAGCCAGGAGCCTGGAACTCCACTGGGATCAATAACATGAGTGGCAGGGGCTGAGGCACTAAGGACATCATTTCCCGCTTTCCCAAGCACCTTAGCAGGCAGCCGGATGGGAAGTGGAGCAGCCGGGTCTTGAACCAGCACCGCTATAGTATATAGGCATTGTAGGAGGCAGCCTGACCCACTGTGCCACAACGTGGGCCCCTAACCTCATTTTTATTATACGTATACGTACATGTGAATCTGCACACACAGACACACATGCACACACATACTACTTGGGAACAAATAAATATATGAATAAAATATTTGTATAAAATATTCAAGTCTCGGCCGGTGCTGCGGCTCAACAGGCTAATCCTCCACCTGCGGCGCCAGCACCCACATTCTAGTCCTGGTCAGGGCGCCGGATTCTGTCCCGGTCGTTCCTCTTCCAGGCCAGCTCTCTGCTGTGGCCCGGGAGTGCAGTGGAGGACGGCCCAAGGGCTTGGGCCCTGCACCCCATGGGAGACCAGGAGAAGCACCTGGCTCCTGCCATCGGATCAGTGCGATGTGCCGGCTGCAGCGCACTGGCTGCGGTGAACCAACAGCAAAAAAAGGAAGACCTTTCTCTCTGTCTCTCTCTCTCACTGTCCACTCTGCCTGTCAAAAAAAAAATAATAATAAAAATAAAATAAAATAAAATAAAATAAAATAAAATATTCAAGTCTCAAGATCTTCAGAAAATTAAGGACCACACCAGTCTCTGAGAGTCAGTAAATTTAAAGGAAAAGCTTTATAAAGAGTGTAATAACGCTATTGCAAACAGTGTGTTGAAGAGCAAAAGTAGATCTAACAATTACGCTGGAACAGATACCCTTTTTGCCAGAATGAAATGATTTCTAATCCAGCATGCACCTGGCATGCAAGCTTTAGCTTATTTACATAATAAAAGAACCACAGATACATTTACCTGAAGACCTCACATTTCAGAGTTAGGCATATGTGATGGACTGATTCCCTCAGAGGTACCCACACCGAAGCCCTAGTTAACAGTCATCTCGAGATGTTCAAACTGGTTCCCTTCTAGTCACAGTGGCAGGCAGTAGCCAAGCAACGCCCCTGGAGTCCATATTCTTATTCTACGGGCCACAGGGCCTCCCAGCTTCTGTAGGGACACTTCCCTAAATTGGGAGATGTTTTCAAATTATTATTTTTTTATGATTTATTTATTTATTTGAAAGCTAGGTTTAGAGAGAGAGGAAGAGAAAGAAAGAGAGATCGGTTAATCTTTTATCTACTGGTTCACTCCCTAGATGGCTGCAACAGCCAGTGTTGGGCGAGACTGACGCCAGGAGCCAGGAACTTCATCCGGGTCTCCTACATGGGTGCAGAGGCCCAGGAATTCGGGCCATCTTCCACTGTTTTCCCAGGCCATTAGTGGAGAGGAGGATTGGAAGTGGAGCAGCCAGGACTCAAACCAGCATGCATGTGGGATAATGGCACTGCAGGTGGCAGCTTTACTTGCTATGCCACAGTGCCAACCCTCTTTCAAATTATTTTTAAGAAAGAAGAAACTGAAAGGAGTCAAGTTAATACAGCCACTAGGAATGTTTAAAGGTAAATGTCATGAAGTGGGGAAGAAAAACAGTGACAATCCGTTTACAGGCTGCAGAGCAGAAAGCCAATAATAATGCTCAATTTCCACACAAAAAGAGATCTCTCACTGCAGTCTGCTGTCATTTCTATGTTTGGTTAAAGAAACCAAAGAACAAGGCTCGCTTTCTCTATACCCAGGATAAGATGTCATTCCCTTAGCAAAATACTACAGTTCGCAGCAACAGTGTTTCTGTTCATTAGGAAAGTCAAGATGTGCGCTGGCTGTGGTGCATTGCATGTGAGTGCTGGCTGCAATCCCAGCTGCTCCAGTTCCAATCCAGCTCCCTGCTAATGTGCCTGGGAAAGCAGGAAGCAGTGGAAACTGGGCCAAGTGCTTGGGTCCCTGCACCCATGTAAGGGACCCTGATGAAGTTTCAGGTTCTTGGCTTTGGCCTGGCCTAACCTTGGCCACTGCAGCAATTTAGGGAGTGAACCAGTGAATAGAAGATTCTTTGTCTCTGTCTCCTCTGTCGTGACTCTGGTTTTTATTAAAAACAAAAAGAAGTCAAGATGCATGCTTATGTTTTTTTTTTTTTATTTAATTCTATTGTGACAGGCAGAGTGGACAGTGAGAGAGAGAGACAGGGAGAAAGGTCTTCCTTTACCGTTGGTTCACCCTCCAATGGCCACTGTGGCCAGCGCACTGTGTTGATCCGAAGCCAGGAGCCAGGTGCTTCTCCTGGTCTCCCACGCGGGTGCAGGGCCCAAGCACTTGGGCCATCCTCCACTGCACTCCCTGACCACAGCAGAGAGCTGGCCTGGAAGAGGGGCAACCAGGACAGAATCCGGCGCCCTGACTGGGACTAGAACCTGGGGTGCCGGCGCCGCTAGGTGGAGGATTAGCCTAGTGAGCCGCGGTGCCGGCCCAGCATGCTTATGTTCTTAAAAACTGGCTTTTCAAAAGCTATAGTAATACTTCTGCTTTCCAGGGAAATAAGACAGCCTGTTTCCCTAGAATGGAGTAAGTTCCCAATAGTCATTTCATCTGGAGAGGGACTGCACAGTTCCTAGCCTGACGGGCAAGGGATGGTTACTTTTAAATTAGGTATCAAAGAAAATTCACTGGTGTTTAATGCCCCCCCTCCCCAAGAGGAGTACTGGGTGTTCCTTTCAGGTTATGAGGAAGGACAATTTCCTAAATTTTTTATGTATCATTAAAAGTAATACTGACGGCCAGCACCGCCACACCGGGTTCTAGTCCCGGTCGCCCCTCTTCCAGGCCAGCTCTCTGCTGTGGCCCGGGAGTGCAGCGGAGGATGGCCCAAGTGCTTGGGCCCTGTACCCCATGGGAGACCAGGAGAAGTACCTGGCTCCTGCCATCGGATCAGTGCAGTGCGCCAGCCGCAGCAGCCATTGGAGGGTGAACCAACGGCAAAGGAAGACCTTTCTCTCTGTCTCTCACTGTCCACTCTGCCTGTCCAAAAAAAAAAAAAAAAAAAAAGTAATACTGACGGTATGGATAAGCCTAGATGATGATGATGAATCTTTTTTTTTAAAGACTGATTTTAAAGGCAGATTGACAGAGACAGAGAAAGAGAGAACTTACCTTTACTGATTGACATCACAAATGGCTGCAACAGCAGGGGCTCGGCCAGGCTAAAGCCAGGAGCAAGGAACTCTGTCCTGGTCTCCCAGTGGGCAAGCAGGGACTCAAGTAAGCGAGCCATCATCTGTTGTTTCCCTGTCCCATTAGCAGGGGGCTGGATGGGAAGTGGGGGAGCTGCAATGCAAACTGGCACTCCGACGTGGGATGCAAGTGTCCCCACCGGAGCTCACGCTGCTGCTCCATGCCTGCCCTTGGATGACTCGATAGATAGTGCTGCATCCTCAGACCTTCGTGCCTACTGACACGCACCATCAATGCACTAATATTTGTTCTCCAGGAAAAAAGAAACTATCACATTCTATGCTCATATTGATGATAACACACTCTGATTTCAGAAATATTAAATGTGAAAAACATCACAAGTTATAACTAAGCAAATGCAATGTGTTTCTTACTGATAGACTTCCAAGTTTTTGGGGAAAAGCTAATTTCTAGGATGAACAATGAACCCACCTATAGAAACGTTCTGGCTTTTGAAGCTGTTGCAACAGAGAATTCAATTCCAGGAAGACAGAGCTAGAACCTTTTACGAATGAGAAAGAACAGAGCAGCTCTTGCCTCAGGTGTGTAGGCAAACCTCACAAATGCCTTTGTGTCTAGCTGTAGGAGCCTGCTCTTTGGCAGCGTGTCACACTGAGACATTCACAGGGCTTACAGTTCTGCTACTTACTTCTACAAGTATCGGTATTCTTAAAGCAATGATTGTCTTTTCCTTCCTCTTCCTCTGTTGATTTTTTCTTCCCAGATTGGTGTTGGAATGCTTTTCTCAGGACTGGCTTCCTGCCGTCTTCCTCCACTTCAATCTCACAGGTAGGCTCCAGCTGTGGCATTGGCCTCTCTTCATCTGAGTTGTCAAAGGGCTCATTCAGCACTTCTGTCGTCTCAGAAATGGTCTCAGTTGTTACACTGCTGTTGATCCTCCTGCGTTTACGACCCCTTTTCTTCTTTAGTATAAAAGGCCTCTGAAATTAATTCCAAACATAATACATTAAGAGCTCATGAGCAATTAAATGGGTGGGTCGATAAGCGGCAAACGTGTGCTGAACGTGTCTGAGAATGTACATGTAAAGACTTCTGTAGAGTCTTTGTAGCTAACCTTCCGTGTGATGCTTAACATCCCTCTCAGGCACCAACTACACAGGCAAGTGTTTTCCAAATAAAACAGTTGTTTACTCAAGCAGATGCTTTGAGAGGGAACATCCTAACAGCCTGACTGTAGATTTTAAAGGCTAAGCTTTGCTTTTCTGGCACATGTTTTCCAAGTGTCTGGCTTCAATATCCCACACATCATAGGCATTAAGGTCACCACAGACCTCAGTGTTTCTTTAACTGTTACAATAATTAACTAGCCATCAGGCCACTCATTTCACACTTGGGAACTGTTTAAAGAGGACCTAAAATACCCAAAGTATTACAGGGACCCTGATGATGTAAAGGCTGACCTATTTACACCTACCTCTCTGAACTTCAGGAACCCAAAAAAGAAAAGAAGGAGAAAATACCTTAAGAATAGACAACTCTACGTTTGAATTATCAGCAGGCATGTATTACTGGCTGCTGGAATCTAAGCAAATAATTTTGCAAAGTATTTTAATACAGAAGGCATGTACAAAGGTTAAAAGAAATTAAGGTCTCGGGCAGGCGTTGTGCACAGCAGGTTGAGCTGCTGGAGGAGTGCAAGTTCAAGTCCTATCTCCTCTGCTTCTGATCCAGTTTGCTTCTAATGCATCTGAGAATTCAGCATGATGGTCCATGTACTTGGGTCTGTGCCACCCACATGGGAGACCCAGATGGAGTTCTAGGCTCCTGGCTTCAGCCTGGCCAAGTCTTGGCTGATGTGGCCACTTGAGCAGTGATCCAGTGGATGGGGCCGCTGCCTACAGTGCTGGCATCCCATGTGGGCGCTGGTTCGAGTCCTGGCTGCTCCACTTCTGACTTGGCTTTCTGCTGTGGCCTGGGAAAGCAGTAGGGGATGGCCCGGGTCCTTGAGTCCCTGCACCCGCGTGAGACACCCTGGGGAGGCTCCTGGCTTAGGACTGGGGCAGCTCTGGCTGTTGCAGCCATTTGGGGAGTTGAACCAGAGGAACCAGAGGATGGGAGGAAGACCTCTCTCTCTCTGCCTCTCCTTCTCTCTGTGTAACTCTGACTTTCACTCTCACTCTCTGTACATCTGTATACAAATATTTACCCATTTCCCCATTACTCTCCTTAAAATTAAAGAAACTTTAAAAGACACAGAATATCTCTTATTTAAGATATAAAAATATTTTTTCTAGTTCCACTGAAGTTTGGCACTAATGACTCTCCATAATCGCAATTATAATTTCTTCCCCAAGCAAAAATGTACTTAATGACACGAAATCCAAATGAGGAGTAACAGGTAAATCTGATGTAATCTGTCAGTAATGAGCCTAACAAATTGTTGAAAACACACTGTAAAAACAAGTTCAATATGCTTTATTAAATGGCAACTTCCAGGTAAACTGTGTCTAAGAGTTGTAGTATCTTAGATTTTTTTTTTCCTTAGTATTTTATTCTTTGAGAGGCAGAGAGACAGAGAGAGCTTCCATCCGCTGGTTTACTCCCCAAACAGCCACAAGGGCCACGGCTGAGCCAGGCAGAAGCCAGAAGCCAGGAGCCAGGAGCTTCATTTGGGTCCCCAACGTGGGTGCAGGGGCCCAAGCACCTGGAACATTTTCCATTGCTTTCCCAGGTGCATTAGCAGGGAGCTGGATGGGAAGTAGAGCAGCTGGAACTCGAACCAGTGCCATTAAGGGATGCTGGTGCTGCAAACGGCAGCTTAACCCATTATGCCACAATACAGGCCCCCTGTCTTACATTTTTAATAACGCTGACGTTCACCAAAGGACACACACAGACCTGTTAACTATATTCTGTGATTCAACATTTGCGGTCATTAAGTCTGCTGTCCTATATAAACCATTAGAATTTGCTCAAACGTGAGTGTGGCCAATATAAAGAGCTAGTTTTTGTTAAGAGTTCATTTATATGACAGTAGTCCCTGTCATGCTCGGATTATTATTATTTTTTTTAAGATTGACTCATTTATTTGAGAGTCAGAGGCATGGACAGAGAAAGAGAGAGAGGTCTTCTATCCGCTGGTTTACTCCCTAAATGGCTGCAATGGCAGAAGCTGGGCGGACCCGGAGCCAGGAGCTTCTTCCAGGTCTCCCATGTGGGTGCAGGGACCCAAGCACTTGAGCCATCCTCCACTGCTTCTCCAAGGGAGCTGAATCAGAAGTGCAACAGCCAGAACTTGAAGCAGCACCCATATGGGATGCCAGAGCCGCAGGTGAAGGCTTAACCTACTACACCACAGCACCAGCCCCATGTTTTTGTTTTTGTTTTTTGTTTTTTTTTTTTTTTGATGTCTTAAGAGCTGGTTTCTTTCATTATAGTCATAATACACAAATATACTCCCCTTGTACAAAATTATATTTTATTCAGAAGCCTGAATCCACTTACAGGATACTCTTTTTTTTTTTTTTTTAATATGTATTTATTTATTTGATGTTACAGAGAGAGGGGGGGAGAGACAGAGAATTTCCATCTGCTGGTTCATTCCCCAAATGGCCGCCAACAGCTGGAGCTGGGCTGATTCAAAGCTAGGAGCCAGGAGTGTTTTCCAGGTCTCCAAGCAGGTGCAGGGGCCCAAGCTCCTGGGCTTACTACCTCCCTGCGGCCACCCTTCCACTGACTGCCATGCTTAGAAGAAGGATCATTGAGCTGGAAGAACAGCAAGTTCTTTGCCAGATACTACAAAGGGTGGCCTGGAGTCAGAGCTTTGCCTTGTATTAAGTCTTATCTATGATAAATGCTATGGTCTGAATATGAATTTGCCCCCCAGACTCATACAGGACTTTAAAACCCAAAGTCCTAAGTTAATGGTAGTTAAGAAGGTGGAAACTTGATCCAATTATGGTGTTTAATAGGGGCATAGACCAAATGGGAGATTCTTAAGTCATTAGTGGCGTGGCCTTAGACTGTAGTTTTCATGAGAGAGTAGGTTATAAAAGCTTAAATTTGAGCCCAACCAGTCTCTCTGCTTCCTGGCTTGCCATATGATCCTCCCTCCACAGATGCTCCACCAACCCACCCACTGCAGAGGTCAAAGAATGGGGCTGCCAGAACTTGCACTTGGAACCTTCAACACGGTGAGCTAAACAGACCTTTTCCTCATAAACTAAGTTGCCTCAGGTATTTCATTGTAGTGGTTGCTAACATGCTAACAGCATCTGTTCCCTGTTTATGTCACAGACAGATACTGCCAACAAAGATGTTATATCTTGGGTAAAAAATTACCTAAAGACAAAATCAATTTTTTTATTTTCTGTACCAATGGAGAGGATACGGTATATAAACCACCAGGCTACTAAGAATATAAAAAATTTCAGTGATGTGTAATCAGCCAGAAATGCAAAATATCCCCATCAGTGAGGTATCTCAAATACCTTCCAACAACTGTACGCCAAAGACAAGAGAAAGAAACCACTTCAAAAGCACTGGACTTGAGCACTTATCTGGTTCTGGAGCAGTCTCTAACGAGCTGTGTGACCCTGAATAAGTCTCCTGGCTTCTCTAGGCCTCCAAGGGAGGTTTAAGTGCTCTCTGTGGCCCCTTTCGCTTTCTATAACCTGACTGACTGTACTCTTAGTTACCAGCAGGTGGCAGAGAGTGCTAGATTAGGAATCCAGCCTGTCCCTGGATTCCTGTCACAGCAGTAACAAACCTCAAAAAGTAAACACGATCACAATGGTGAGATGCATGACGAGGTATCATCAGTGGGAGACTGGGTACACAGCAACATCAAGTACAGCCAAAGAACAGAGAGTGAAACAAATACTGATCCATAGAATGTTTGCAACGACAAGTGAAAGCGACTCACAGACTGAAAATCTAAAGAGACACACACCTTTCTCTTTATGGCAACTGACTGTGGCTTAGTTAATCGTGGGGGAGAGCTCTGAATATTCTCTTCTTCCTCCTCCTCCTCTTCTTCTTCTTCCTCCTCTTCCTCCTCCTCCTCTTCTTCCTCCTCTTCCTCCTCCTCTTCTTCACTGCTCTCTTTCGACAGCTCCAACAGCTGCCCTCGCTCCCCTGCCATTGGCCGGCTCTCCGGGGAATGCAGATATTTATTTTTCGATTGTACTTTTGCAGGTGATTGCCTACTGTTAGCTCTAGATGACAGGATTTCTTGCTCCTCCTTTTCCCAGCAGCTAGCTTGTTCCATCAGCCGCTCAGCCTAAGGGGAGGGGTACAAATGGTGGGCTAGTGAGAGGGCAGTTATGCAGCCAGAACCTCTAACAGGATCAGTGGCAAAGGGCTTCTATGTCAGTTCTGAGCAGGACAGCCAGCCAGTCATGCAAATGCCAGCTGTATCATCTCAGGACCCTTTAGCGTCAGTTAGGATAACAAATCAAAGAAGATTGGGTTTCATGGGATATTTAGTGGTATTAATGATGCAGCGAATTGATTTGAGTTCTTTATCACTACAGTACATGCTCACTGGCATGGAGCACTTTAAGCAAGTTCATAAACACAAAGAATCGATTGACATTGCAGCCTTGGAGCTCAGCACCAAATTTGATCTGATTACATGCTGTCAGCAGTGAAAAATGTTGCTTTATGATCAATGATAAATGTTTCATTTTTCATACTCAATTCAATAAAATTATCATGTCTTACCATGCAACCTCAGTTAGTATAAATTAGTGCCATATCATTTCACAAGTTCTCTCTACATAAGCAAGCTTTTGACAATGATTTTAATGACTTTCTTAGCTTAAGAAAGTTACAAGATTCAAGTTATACAGCTCAGGATGACGAAGCCAATCATTACCTCTTTCTCAGCTTCTCGCTCTTCTTCAGAAACTGCAGCATTAGAAATTAAAATTGGGGTCCACCTCAGACTTTCTGGGTCAAGTTCATTGGTTCGGGAACAGGTCTTCAGCTTTTCCATATGGCCCAATATCAACTTTTCCCGTCTAATGATGACAAATCTGTAATGTGACAACAAAGTGCAATCAAAAGCTGAAATTTCATTTTACTTTCTCACAATGGCAATATGCTAGCACCACCATTAACTGGGTTAGGAAAAATCATAAACATCGTCAATCAAAGGGCATGGCAAATTAAAATTCAACCAGCAAAAAGGTAACATTTCATGTTTTCTTTTTATGGGAAGGGTTTTGAAAGCTCCATGAGAGAATCTTATGGAAGGAATGTGCTTAACTTCCAGGAACCGTCTCTGGTGTGAGACGTCTGGGAGGCAGTGGTGCCACCCAGGGGCCTGGTGCTCACCTGCCGTCTCTCTTGTCGATCATGTGCAGATGCTGCAGCGTGGTGGCGATGTCGTGTGGGCACATGCCCGTAGCCCTGCTGATGGCCTTGATGCTGATGTGCCTCTCGTGGTGCTGGTAGAGATATTCTAAGATGACGCTTTTCCAATAGGCCAGGTAGGAGAGGCGGCCCAGATCAGAGAGTGGCTTTTCAGGTGACCCGGCCTGGCCTTCTCTTCTAGAAAGCAAATAGCCTAGGGCAGAAAAACCAAAAGTCCATCTCATTGTGTCATTTCCAGAGCTTGGACAGGAGCCACTAGAAATAATTTAAGTAGCAACAAGCTAAAGACATCGCATCAGAGGAGTGCATTGTTTTATGGAGCCTCTTATCAGTTAGTCATTTGATCTCCAGGAAGTTCATGCTTCTGAATCTTTTACAGTGGCACCATCAGTCAACTCACGCAGTTAGGAGTAGCATTCCAAACATCTATCATGGCTTATGTAACAAAAACTGAAAGCTACGGTTCGAGACAGTACTTCTGGTAAGTCTCACCATACAACTATCCCATCAGCGTCAGATGTTCTCAGAAACTAAATGCTGGGCTCTCACTAGAAATCCTGTTGAGGGACCACCCCACACATTAATGGGCAAGCTGTTTTCCACAGGAAGGACCAAATGACCCTTTGACAGCGGGTGTTAATAAAAGACAAGGGCCTCTGTTGACTGAGTCCACACCGCTCGTTACAGCTAACTAGCGGGCTGATCTGAAGCTTTGTTTTAGGACTCATGAAAGAATGTCTTTCATGTCAACCTGCTGCAACTTCTGTAAGGTCCACCAGTTCTGTTTTCATCTCTTTCATGGAAATTAATTTATAATCCAACCCCAGCATGTTGCTCCTGCAAAGTAGAAGAAAATTCCTTAAAACAAACTATGTCATGTACACTGAGAAAATTCCCACGCACGTTGAGCTGAACGCATTCTCCAGCATTACTGTGATCGCTCCTTGGCAGAGGAACTTGAGAAAGGGGAAAACTTTAACCCACTTGAAGGTAATGAATGAAAGCTGGCGGCTGTCTCGGTAATTAAGAGCCACTTGCAGAGTAGAGAAGAAATGCTATAAACTAATGATGTCTACCTTGCTCTAATTAACTACTTCAACAGCCTTACCTTCATGAACTTCCTAAATTTAAACAAACATCAACCACATACAGTAGGTGGCAGCAATTACAAAATCATGCCGCTCTGCAAACCACCCATATCTTCAGCGGTCTTCTTTATCTCATTTCCAAAATGGCTGCATTCTCAAGAATTTTTTCAATTTTAGGTTTTTTTTTTACAAGCAGAAATCAATGCCTCTGATGCCTTTTCCTACCCTTCATATTCACTGCAAACAATGCAGAAATATGAAAGAAGGAAGTCCAAACCCTATGGGGGTATAATCTCAGCAATTTGCATTTTGCTGGCATTAATTTGGACACTAAAATAAAGGTATAAATTTAACTTTAGGTTTTGCTGAAGTCTTGTGACTTATTTATCTGTTTAATTCACATTTATTCACAGTATTTGACTGAACGCAAACAAGCTGCACAACCTTTTCCAGTCACATCACTGCCGACATGTCATTCGGCTGCAGACTGAGGCTTTCAGTAGCAGTGTGTCGGGAATGCTAACACTGGTGGCCGCTGTGCGGAGCCAGCCCACATCATGTCCTGTCAACAGAGGGAAGAGCTCTCCACCAAGGGAGCCCAAACCTCAGAACACAGATAATTGGCACATCCGTCACCTGCCTGCTAAGTGCCTGGCACACGCTGAGACATTTACTCAGTCGGCTGGAGGTCCAGCTCTGCGCTCCCACGGGGGAGACAACGGGAGACAACGGAGACAACCGCAGCACCATGGATTTGAACCACCCCCTTTTGTCCATGAGATCCCACAATTAAAAGTCCCCTGCAGTGACTGTGAAGTCCCCGGGCTTTCACTGGCTCTTATCTGAACCCCCCAGTCGAGGACAAAACCCTCCCCCATTAGCCTGGCAGAAAGATCTGTCAACCAAAGTGCTCGGAATGCAATACAGGTGCTCCCTAACCTATGCTCCCTACTGCGATGGGCCTCCTTGCCAGGTGGCCCAGGCTCTTCTTTGTTCCATCTTCTCTTCCCACATCCCTACTCTGGACTAAGAGAAGGCCAGAATCCTGAAAAAGCACAATTTACCCAGCGTTCATGTAGTCATACCCTGAGGTAGTACAGTTACACCTTACAAAGTTCTGAGCCTAAACAGATTAGGCCACTCAAAACCGGCAGGCAGTGAGGCATGGGGAGCATTTAGCCGTAAACAGTTGTGCACCTGCTAACCCCACCACATCAAGTAGGTGTCTCTTGGGACACTGCCATGGACACCAACTGCAGTCTGATTGATAATGCCACCGAAGTGTCCTGGGGCCTAAGGAGGCAGAAGGGTGACAAGCCCAACAAGCAGGAGCATACCCTCAGACTGTGCTAGCAACGGCCAGGAGGAGACAGGGCGGCTGCTGCCACCTGCCTCAGAGTGGCTAGGAGGAAAGAAGTGCAAACCAGAGCTCCAATCAGAGTACATCAAGCAGGTTTTCAGGGATGTCATGCACCAACACTGCAGGGCACAAAAGGCCACTTGGTCCCAAGGCACTCTGCATGGCCTCTTCCCTCCGACTCATAAGACTCTCAGGGAACTTACAACAAGGGTGGAAGGGATGGGTACTTATGCCGAGAGCCATCTGGAAGTTCACAAACCTCTTCCTGAAGGAGGAAGTTTCAGATTTAAGTAGAATCTATCAGAACACTACTCAAAATGATCAAGGATATACTTCTGATTCCTCACTAGTTACGTGAAATCACTTGTAACATGTTCAACTACAGAGCTCAGAGGAAACCCTTGTCTATGCTGTCGTGCACTAGGTTGACGGAAGACAGAATCCCAATGTCCCCTGCAGCAGGCACTTCCCTCTGCTGACCTTCACAGCACAGGGTGTTTTCAGTAAGGCAGATCTTGCCACTTTTTGTTTCTATGTTTTCCAGGCTCTTCAAAGCATAATTACAATATAGCCCATCGACAGAATAATCTTTGCTAAGAACATTTTCATTATTGACTAATTACAGATGTGGTGGTTTAAGTTACAGCTCTTAAATTTAACTTACCAAAAAGATTCCAAATAATTGATCTAAGATGCAGGGAAATAAAAAGCACTTATCTTGGAAGCCGGTGTATTATCCTGAGGCATCTGAAACAAGTACAATACACCTCTGGTGAATAGATTCCCATGATGCTCTGACTCCTCTTCCTAACTCAGGATATTTTCAATCAGAAAACCTCAGCTATCCCTGGGGAAACCTAGCTGTTTCAGAAGGAAAACAAAGTGATGTTTGGAGGAGAAATCCCAGGAGCTGCAGTATAATTAATCGCTGGTGAAATTATTCCCTTGAACTTGTCTGTGAGCCAGAGCTGCTGGTGAATAGCACTTATTCTGTGAGTGGGAGCCATATAATTGAAAACCAAGAGGCCCAAAACCCCTCACCCACAACAACTATCCTCATGTTAGCAAGAGCTGACTGCATCATTTACGTCACTGGAACCCACTTACCCTGGGGAAGGTAAGGTCTGAGTCAGTGTATGGGCCACACACTTAATTCATAAGATTATCAAGGTATCTGCTAAAAGGCAAAGGAAAAACATGTGATGTCTACAAAAAGTATGCCTTTCTAAGCTATACTGTGTGGGACCTGAGGATACTTCACCTCTGTTACCCACTGTAGTGAGAGAATCAGTTCTCAGGTTGACCAGCCCTAATCCTCCTGGGGGCTGAAATGGTTAACTCAAATGGCAGAGTGCTGCCTCCAAGTAGACAAACCCATTAGGTTGAAGAAAGAATCCTCCAGACAAGGTCAAGATTTGTTTTTGCACTCAAATTCCCAAAATAAGAGCATAGTAATTGCAAGGTTAACTCTAATTTACTATGAAAATTCATTCCTTTTAAATGACTGATCTTCAAGATGGCAGACTGGGGACCAGTGCTGTGGCGTAGTAGGCTAAGCCTCCACCTGTGATGCTGGTATCCCGTAAGGGCACGGGTTTGTGTCCTGGCTGTTCTGACCTAGCTCTCTGATATAGGCTGGGAAAGCAGTGGAAGACGGTCCAAGTGTTTGGGCCCTGCACCCGTGTGGGAGAGCCGGAAGTTCCTGGCTCCTGGCTTCGGATCGACCCAGCTTCTGTCCGTCTCTCCCTCTCTATCTATAACTTTCTCAAAAAAAAAAATATATATATATATTGCAGACTGGACCAGAAGTGCAATGGAATACTTTTCTGAAGCAAGGGGAGGGCAGTGAGTAAGGGTCTCCCCCCACAGAGGCAGCCAGCCATCCCTCACCCTTGTATACCTCCATCTTCTCCACCTGACACCAAACCATATGAACTTCCTCAAACACTTCCTATAAACTCTGGCGAGCTACTCACTCCCAACTCCCATCTGTCTGGATTATGTGAGTTCAGGGTCACTGGCTGCTTTTAGGGGAAGATAATCTTTGAGGATTACACACCTTTCATCAGACACCTGTTTAGCTCTGCAAACTCTGCTGAAAGGTCCACAAGAGAAGACTGTACAGAGTTTGCAAGCGTGGGAACTGACGCCAGGCCAGGATTTATGACAGCTCTCCTGCAGAGGAAGATGTGATGATTCTGACTGTATATCTGTTCTCACGACGGCAACTCACTGTTTGCCTGTTACGGTTCTCAGGGGTGGGCAGCACTGTGATCAACTTGATCAACTGCATGAATGGCGTGCTGTGTCTCTTCCTTTAATTTTTGTGGTGATTTGGCAATTAGTGTCGGAAGAAGCTGAGCCTCAGTGTTCACATCAGCTTAAGATGATACCAGTGTTTTACTTATGTATAAAACATTATTCTTTTATTTAATGATTTGAAGAGCAGAGAGAAGACAGAGAACTCCCATCAACTGCTGTCACTCCCTAAATGCCCAAGATCCCCAAGTGTGGCTCCACACCTACAGCATCATCTAGGAACTGCTGGACTGCAGCTTCTCAGACCTACCGAATCCAAATCTTTAGGGGCAGCTCAGTACCTGGGCTTCCCTAGCACCCAGGTGATTCTGATGCACTGTTTGAGGACCAGTACTTTATATACTCTGTTTACTCTCTTCTGGAACTGTTGGTCTTGCTGAAGATGTGGAAACCTCCTTGTGAAGTAGGCAGAGTGACTGACAGAGT